TTGATTGTTGGTGTTTCAGTAACTTTTATGCTTTAGATAAATATAGGAAGTTTGTGGTTGTTGTGCAATGACATTTGCCGACTTAAATATTGGGTTAAATTTAGCAAAGATTAATCTAATCTGCTATTTCAAATTGTGATTGTGAAGTTCATGCAGCAGTATTACTGCTGTCTTGTTTGGTTTGGAGGATGATGCTAGTTTCTTATATGTTCATGTGGTTCATATTAACTCATGGAAGAACAGGATTTTTTTTTTTTTAATGTCACCAAGCCATCGGGAAACTTTGGTCTCATTGGTGATTTGATGCTAACTTGTGTCAGGTTCGTAAGCTGGCTGAAAAAGAGTGAAGATGGTGTATTTCAAATGCTTCACGGTGATGTAACCTACTAGTCTTTCCTATCATCACTTAACTGATCCAGTTCTGTGTGTTTATGTTTAACTTTGGTGCGTGATTTATTTTTAGATTCTGTTTTTGTCACTAGGGTGGTCAATATTGGAGCAACTGCTTTAGTTATAGACACAGCAACCGCAATATTTGGAGAAGCTGGTGTTAAATTAACAGACACACAGTTCTGCGTGTCTATGTTGCTATTTAACTCTTTTATACTTAGCTGATGACTGCTAACAAATTAAAATTTTTGGCTAATGCTGTTTGCTGTGTCACTAGGTCAGGCTAGTGGCATGGCTTTCCTTGGTACTATATCCAGTGGGAAGAATTGTTACTTAATGGGAATGCTTAAATTACTTGGTCTAAAAGGGAAAAGGTGAAGGAAATCATATTCTTGTTTTTGTCTATTACATTTTTTGTTTCTAGTTGTTTGTTAAGTTTGTATTGACTGCTTTATGAATGCTTTGCATGTTTTCTCTTTAAATTAGCGAACCTTATGTAACTGAAGATGAATTAAAGCTGATGCTAGGTGGGGCGGAGTTGAGTGGAGCAATAGAGGAGGAAGAGGAAGTAGTGAAATAAGCTAATATTTCTTTACTGTACTAGCCTGAGTGTCTCTTTTGTTTCAAATAAGAATTAGAAAGTTTCTTCAGTTTCTGAATTCTTTTAGTGAGATCAAATTGATCAGTATCATCTATGCTTGATTGTGATTGCACGTTTACAGTAGAGCATATCTTTTCCTTGCCCTATATTTCTCTACCAATTTCTGTTTTAAAATCAGATTCTAGTGGAAATTCAATTTAATTTTTTTACCAACAGGTGTCTTTCTGCTTGTTTACAATTCAGATGCTCTAACTTTATGAATTCCTTACAGGATATGATTGGAAGTGTATTAGAGATGAAGGATGCTCATGTTAGAGAGGTAATGACACCCCTTGTTGATAATGGTTGCAATTGATGCAAGTGCAACTATTGTTGATTTCCAACATCTGTGGGTGACTCACAAGGTAGGGAATTAGTAATTCATCTCTAAGGCTTTGTCTCCCTCAAGAAACTTGTTGAAAGATTTTTGTTTACAGGGTACCTGTTTTTGAGCAACTTGTTGACAACATTGTTGGCGTGGCATATGCAATGGATTTACTTGATTTTGTTCGGAAGGCCCAGGCAATTGCCTCCTTTAGATATAGATAACTTTAGATATTGGATTCTATTATTCCTCAGCAAAGGGATGCTAAGAAAACTCGTTGATGAAGTCCAAAACAAACCTTTCTTGCAGAAGAGCAAGGGATGGATGAACAATTGCTGGATCAATCTGTCTATCTTCACTCATTCCAGCTAGGACTTAAGATGATTATTTTAATTCATTCATTCCAGCTATTTGATTCTGTATGACTAAAAGTTGGAATACAAAAGCAGCTGAGCTGCAATGTGTAACAAGGCAGAGATATGTGGCCATGTGAATGGGTGAAAGTCTGTCCAGGGAAGAAAATGGTCAGGAGCAAAATCCAAAGAGATGTGGAAGGTAGCATTCGGAAGTGTTTCTTTAAGGAGAATAAAAGACTGGGTGCGTTTTGTATAGGCTTGTCGCCGAGGGCCGCTGGTATGCCTTTGGAGTTTGGAGTCTTTTTGGTGGGGGATTTGGTCGGACCTTCCCATTATATATAGCTTTGAACATTCTCCTTTTTCATTTGTGGACAGCACAAAGCTTGAATACTGTGAACTCAATTCGGATTCTGATGTTTTTATCAAAGAAAACCCCTTTATGGAGAGGAGAGAAAAGAAGAATCAACCAAAGCCAAGCCCCTCTTTCTCTCTGTACATGTTCTGTTTTGTCTTGAAGCTTTTGGATGGGAATGGCATGGAAGATGAAAGTTAAGATATTAGATTGGATCTGTGGTTGTTGGGGGAGTCAAATTTGAAAAGCAATATATATCCTAAAGCTAGAGGTAGAGGTCTCATTATCCCAAACAAAAAAATAGAACTCTCATGGACTTAAAACAAGTGTTTATTTCTCAGAAGCAAATATTTTTTGCTGTTTGTTTTGAATTGTTTCTATTGTGCAGATTTTGGGTGTTTTGCCAGTGTGATTTCCATTTTGAGGTAAATGTTTTTTGCTTTTTATTTGGAATTCTTTCTCTGGTGCAGATTTTTGGTTTCAAGAGTTAAGTTTATTCGTAGCATTTGCTGTTGATTTTGACAGGAATGGTGGGTATTAGGATATGAGAGGTGGGTAGTGTCGGCAAGAACAAGTTTTCAAACTTGCGGTCATCCTCCAAGAGTCCGATTACTCCACCGCAACTCGCGGCTCCCTCCTTCCATGGCTCTGGTACTCTTCTCTTCCCATCGCCTTACCTTTTGTGTTGGGTATGGTTGTAGAAATACTTCTGTTTGTGATAAATTCGTTCTACTTTTTGGTTACACAGGTCAATAAAGAGGGTGCTGGACAAATGGTACTCCGGTGACCACTCCAGTGCAGATCTCGACGAGCTTCTTTCAGATTGTATCACTGCTTTCAAGCACAGTGTGCAGCACAGAAACGACATCAGATTTCTCAAGATTTGGTTCGTTTATGTAATCAACTCTCTTCTCTCCTACGCTGCTTAATCTTGGACTTAGTTATCCCTTTGCATGTAGAAAATTGTTAATTGAATTGGATTTTTTGGGTTTTGGCTTCTTTATCAAATTCAATTACCTTAATAAAGCATCCAGCCTGAAATACTGGTGTTTAATTTGGTTCCTGCTTATTGGAGTCAGATTGCTGGAACTTTATTTTCAGCATTTAAAATTCTAGAATTTTTGTTGAAGTTGGTTATGTTTAAGTCATTGAAACTTTTTAGGGGGTGAGATCATTTGAATTTGATAGAGTAATTCAGGGCAGAGACAGCAATTTCGAACTCCCAGGTTTTACTTATAGCTGGAAATTTATTTCCTTAGTGGAGAATGTTCCCAGGGGTTCTCATAATGAGTTGGGACTTGGGTTAATCTAGAGATTGCTTTTGGATTTCAATATTTTCTGAATTTTGCTTGGACACCCAGTAATATATTTTCTCTGCAAGCAAATCTACCTTTCTATGGATTGGTACTTTGATGTGTGAACTTTGTTGGATTTAAAAGAGTTGGTTTGTTAACTTCATTTGGTTTCTTTAATTCCCAGATTGTTCTCCTGTAATTTCTTTTGTATGGACTTGGCTTGCAGATTTGATAGTGTCGGCAAGAACAAGTTATAAAACTCATGTGTTTTCTCGGTTTAGGGTATAAAGCTACATATTATTTTTGATAGGAGGAATTACAGTGTTAGGTTAGTGTCTGTTCGAGGAAAGTTGAGTCTGGAACTCGACCTGAGGACCAGGTGCGTTCCACCTGCTTCTCACTTTGGAGAAGCGTGGCTGTCACTGCAGCCACATGGGGGAATGCATAAAGCTACGTATTATTGATATTTGTGTTGTTGCCTTTTTTTTTTTTCTAATTTTTATTTATTGGCAGCTGAGAAGCAATTTAAGGAATCTAAATTTTTATTTTTGGTTGAAAAA